CACATCTTCCTGCATTAGCATCGAGCATGCTCTTTTGATCTACTTTACATGACAACTGTCTTGGTTTCATTTCTGCTGCTGTGGCAGACACCCTGGTGTAAAGCAACTCAGGGGAGAAAAGGGTTTATTTCAGTGTACAGTTTCAGACCACAACCCTTTATTGTGGGAAGTCAAGACGGGAACCCAAGGCAGGCCCACTTGCTGTTCCAAGAAACTCACTTGCCAGCCAGAGAAGAGCAGGACGCGGGAAAGCGGCTTGCTAGCTGGCTCTAAAGCCGCCTTATATCCAGCTACCTTGGCGTGCAGCTCAGTACCACCTGCCTAGTGATGGCACCAGCCACAGTGGGTGGGCCCTCCTACATCAGCTAGCGATCAGAACAATCCTGAGCAGACACAGCCGTAGATCATCTGGTCCAGGCAACGCCTCGGGTGATGCTCTCCTCTCAGATAACTAACTCTAGGATGGGTCGACAGTTAAGGTTTACCAGCACGATATTCTGACATCACTTTTAAAATTATACTTGCAATGGCTGAATAACATTTATGTTTATAGTTTAATTTTAGCTGAACCTTTATCATAAAAGACGTGAAACACATACTTGGTATATTGAGGTTAGCAGAATCTATAGATAAATTTGGGGAGACTGTTACATTTCTAATCTATAAAGTATATCTTTCCATTTCTCAATTAAATTTTTAAACTTTTATTAGATTCTATACTTAGAAATACAATGTATTGTATCCATTCTCATTATTTTAGCCGCTTTGAAAATTCATTTACTATTTCTCCTGATTCATTTCTAGACCATTTTGAACATTTTAAACTAAGTATTTTCTGGTTTCTTTTAATGGGTCATAGATGTTGTTACTTCTAGTTTTCTTTGTTCAAGAGCTTTGGGCCAAACTATTTGATTTTTGTAGCAATTTGCATTATTGCCAAAATCTGGTTTTGGAACTTTAACCAAAATTCTATTTCTCATATATAGTCCTTATCGTTAGATCTTTACCTAGGATCGTTTCGGACCAAAGCTTTTGAATGTACCAGACAGTTATTTGGTATGTGTGGGAGTTTGCAACAGTTTCTTCCCAAAATTATAGCCCAGACGTCTCTGAGACATAATTATCTTCCATTAGTTGGGCACACCCACACCGTCCCGTTCCTTCTGCCCCAATCTTGGCATCAGTTACCCTTCCAGAAGCCTGGGGTGTTCGGCCTTGGTACTGCTGACCCCAGGCAGTTATGCAGGTGTGCATAGGGGGACCATGGCGACTCAGAGGGTCTTAGTGACTAGCAGGGGACATGCTGAGTCAAGAGTTGTAGAGTGACACCCAGGACGCTAGCCTCTGGTCACCATCCATCCTGTGGGCTATCTTTTCGTTTCGTTGTGGGGAAGTTTTTCAGCTCCATGCAGTCACATGGAGTTCCAGGTATTTGCTTTTGTCAGAGGTGCCTGTTAGGGTCATATCCGAAGGGTCAGGGTAGAGACTGTCATTCAGACGATCAGTCACAGCTGGAGAGTGGGCCTAGTGGCTAAGAACACTGGCTGCTCTTCCAGGATGCGTGTTGGATTCCCAGGACCCACATGGCAGCTCACAACCATCTGTAACTCCACTTCCAGGGGACCCAACACTCTTTACTGGCCTCTGAGGGCACCAGGTATGGACAGGGTACACATATAGCGATGCAGACAAAATGCCCATGCATATAAAATTAATTGACATATTTTAAAAGATTAATCAATTCCAGAACTCAGTATGGAGAGTGTGAATGTTAACACTGTACTGTTTACTTGAAATGTAGGGGGAAAGTAGAGCCCAAGTACCCTTCCATTACAGCCCTGGCCCCAACACGTTAAATGTGGTAATTGCATGATGATGGATGTGTTAATTAATGTTACTGTGACAACCATTTCAGGCTATATATCAAATCAGTCTTATTGAGGTATAATTGATAAAAGCTGTATCCACTCAGTGGTGACTAGGAGATCAGCATGGGTGCTAATTTGCCGCGCAGTTCCTACCAATGTGCCTGCCGTTTTAAAACTCGTAAAATTTACGTCCACATTTAAAAAGTATGTATTCGTAATGTGTCACTTATATAGAGTGAGTGTGTATATATGCAACTTACGTGTGTTTTTGAATCATAAGTGATGATGGGTTTGGAGGGGGGTCATTTTGGTTTGGGATCACTTTAAAGGAAACGTAGCAATGGCAATTTCACCCAGGTTCTGTTCTGAGTACCTTTTGTTTATACTTAAGTACCCCAGTAACTTACTGAGGTGCATCTCAGATCTGCTGGTAGAGTCTTGTACTCACAGAGAACCCCACTAGGTAAGAACTGCAGCATGGGAAGCAGACAGCATGGCGCCAAATCAAACCCATTTCCACAAAGCACAGCAAGAACCGCCAGTTGCCCTGCAGGTCGCAGATCCTTGTTGGGTAATCCAGACACTCTATAACTTTTATGAGGCCTGCTGCCTGCCTGGACCTTTGTGAGACCCCTAACCAACCATCTGTCTCTTGTCTATCTCACCAACAACCCTGTGACGTGCACCATAAAATCTGCTGCATTTTGAGGAAACATCATTACAGTCCTTTCTTGGTGGTTTTCTTCTTCTAGAGAACAGATTGTGGTTATTATTTATCCTTCCTGGCCAGGTTTCCCCAGGAAGACAACTGTTGATCACATGTTCAAGCTTTATAAACCAACCTTCCCTCCCCTGCATTAGTCAGGGCTCTCTAGAGAAACAGAACAAGTGGGCGTGCGTGTGTGCGTGCGTGCGTGCGTGTGTGTGTGTGTGTGTGTGTGTGTAATTCACAAGGAATTAGCTGAATAAGATACAAGGCAACCGATGTTGAGTGCTGGAGCAAGACAGAGGAACTGGGAAACACAGGAGCTGCGGCAGGCCATGCCTATAATCATCGCATTCGCTTGGACTCTGTAGAGCACACAGCAAACTCAAGTTTACCTTTGGGAATGTCGTGGAATTAAAAGTAAATAAATAAATAAAAGCTGCCTGTTGAGAACTGTGACCCCCTGCCTGCCGGAGTAAACAACTTGTTTTCCTATGCTTGCAGCTGCTCTGAGCACAAGACCCTCAGGAGTTCCTGATGTCTAGGGAGTGGTTTCTGGTGGGCTTGCAGCTGAGAGTGAGGGCATGGCCATTAGTCAAGGAGACCCTATGTAAGCTGCCCTGGAACACACTAAAAGGGGCATTCTTGGCCTTTCTGATGTGTGTGTGTGTGTGTGTGTGTGTGTGTGTGTGTGTGTTTCGATCTCCAGGCCCTTGCCTGACTTGCAAACTGTACGGTAGCACCTAGCACACAGAGCATGTGTTGTGCTACAACGACCTACTTCCAACCCACAGTTGGTTTAATACAATGATATGTAATCTGCAGATAGGGAGATCTGACTATATTTACACCCACACATACACACACAAATGGAAATGTTTTAAGGAACTTGCTTATGCAGCTGAGGTTACAGTTCAAGTTGCAAGTACAGCATAGGTTGGAAGCAGAACTACCTTGAAGACTTAGCCTGTTTTTTTCTTTCTTTCATTCTTTTTTTTTTTTTTTTGGCCTCCAACTTCTTTGATGAAGCCCACCCTCATTGTGGAGGGCAATCTACTTTAAGTCTATTGATTTAAATTAAATATTGAATTGACCTAAAAATCAAACAACAAACAAAAGCTCACAGCATCTAGCATTTGATCAAACATCTTGGACTGTGCCCTAACCTGTAGCACAAATTCTAATTGGTCTTAATAATAAAAACCTGAAGTCAGATATGGGGTAAATGCTGAAAGATCAGAGAAGGAGCCAGCCTCTAGAGAGACCTTTTACCTCTACTGAATCCTCAAACCAGTGTGCAAGATCCTGTCTCCACAATTCTCAGACTGAATCCTGAGCTCCTGTCTCCTCCTGCCTTACATTCCTCTCTCTGCCTAGCCATATCACTTCCTGTCTCCACCTCCCTGGGACTGGGATTAAAGGTGTGTACCACCACTGCCTGGCCTCTATGGCTGACTAGTGTATCTAGCTCTGCACTCTGATCTTCAGGCAAGCTTTATTTGTTAAAGCACAAACAAAATATCACCACACTAACCAAGTCGACAATTGCCACCAGCCACCGTGCACTCACAACTTCACCAGCATGGAACTTGAGGGGTACTCTGGGAGATAAGCTCTTGGAGACATTCAGTGGGTGCTTCCAATGAAGCAGGGTAGGGTCCCCACGCCCTAGTTTGCAGAGCAGATTCATTCAAGATCCTAATGAGCCAGGGATGGCCTCAGGGAGAAATACAGCCCCCCTATGTGACAGGTCCCCAACTCCTTCTACCACCACTTGTGTGCACCAGGGGCCTCAGCTAGACTCACAGAAGAGTATTCTTGTTTTGCTTCTGATCTAAAACAGTCAGTGGTTTGAACGAGTTGCCCAAATTCACATGATGAAACCTTGGTCCCCAGCGGGAGAAGTGCTGTGAGGTGACTGGGCTAACTCTGCCCTGGTGAACGGGATAACCTGCTCACGGATAGTAGGACTGCGGGCTACTGTAGGCGAGGTTCTGTTTTCAGCTCAAGCATGTACTTAGCGTGCACAAGGCCGGGTTCAACTCCCAGCACCAACAAAAAGAATACACGTGTAAAACAGAGCTAGCTGTCTCTACCATGCTCTCTCGGTCTTGCTATGTGGCCCCTCTCTGATCTTGCTGTACATCACGAAGGCCCCACCAGATGCTGACTCCATGCTTGTAGACCTTACAGGCCCCAGAATATGAGCTAGATGATCCTTCTCTATACGTTCCCTGTCCTCTGCTATTTTGGTATAGCAACAACAAATGGACTAAAAACATTACAACTAAGTCTGGGCACATCCAAACCATAAACCCCAGGGGATGGAAATTGGCTTATGGGCTATACTGTGCCTTCCTCACCTTACAGCCAACCTCTAGATGCCTCTCCCCCACCCAAGACCCACAGACCGAATCCACAGGGACTTTCTTCTAACACTGCTTTATTTAAATAAGGACTAAGCCAGGTGCATTTAAAAAATTTTAAAAAGAGGTTACAAGCCCATGGTTCCCCACCAAGGCCTCATCAGATCATGTTAAGATGCCTACACATGTCTGTTTATTAGTTCAGAACCAACGGTTGAGACGAGCCGTGTACCATTCCTAATAGGCAGGTTATAACAGAAGAAAAAAGACTCCACACTACTAAGAGGGAAATGAAGGACACCAAGAGAAACCCCAGAAGCCAGCAGTCTGGAGATGAAGGCTTTTTCTGAAAGTTCACAGTTAGGAACCTCCGTGCTCAGCTTAATGGGAACAGGAGGGAAAGGAGGTGTATGCCAAGACTCAGTGAACACTTTCAGTTAGTCTGAAAGAATGAATGTGAGCTTATTCTTACCAATGATCTCTCATCTGGCAGAAGCCAGGCTTGACAGAAAAGAACCCAAGTAAAAACTTCACAACAGGCAGTGCTGGGGGAGTGGGCTCAGGGCAGCCTCCTCCCTCCTCCCTCCCCTCAGACAGGTCTTGCTGCTGTGGGATATTCAAACTCCTTTGGTCACTGGCCGTATTTCTTTCTCAGAAATGTATCTCTGATCCTCAAGTTCTCCATGTTACAAAGCTTCAAATAAAATATGGGTTTTGTTTTGAGGTTTACTGGTTACTTGGTTTTATAGGAGCTGGTATTTCTTGAGTGTTCTTGAAATTTGGCCAGCTTCCTCATCTTCCACACGCTCAGCCCTGATACCAAACAAACACACAAAAAACAATCCTTGCCAAGATGTTTTTGCGTGGACAACAGATTTTGGAAGATCATCATATGCCACAGATAAAATGATAAAATGTCTTTATCTGGAAGTTTCTAGAAATAGTTAGCAAAGGAGAGGGGTGCAAATGTTTCTCCCCCAAACCTCAACTTGTCTCAGACCATCATCTTAGCCTTGGGCCATGGTACAGCTCTTGAGGCTCTCTCCTCAGCCTCGGCTGTCGTCTGTCCAGTGTGAGCCGTGTGCTCCTCACCAGAAGCACAGGCAGGCTGGTGTTTGGGGCTTTGGGCCCCTTTCCAGCTAACACCCCCTCTGCTTTGAGCCATCACCTCCCCACTGATGTGGTCACTAGAATGTGAGCCTGGGCTGGAGTTCACTGCCCTGCCTGACGGAGCCTGGCATTCTCTTGTGTTGATCACCTTGGAACACAAGCCTTTGCAGGGGGAAAGGAGTCAAGCAGAAGCAGTTTGTAAGAAGCAAAGTGCTCCTTACAGGTTGGATTAGCACACACACCCCCAGCCAAGCGTTGGTCTTTTATTCCTCAGGATTTCAGGTTCACTGCACACAATTACATAAGCCTACATGAATCAGTCTTGAAGTTCAAAGCCGCGAGGCCAAATGACACCGGTGAGAAAATCCAGTTGCCACGGTGGAGGTCTGTTTAGCGGCAGTTATCGTAAAGGTTCCCAAAGCGGGATGAGGCTGGCTCTGGAGTCTGACACCGAGCCCAGCCACACTAAGTAGTTCTTCTACCACGGGACCACACCCAACTGCTAGCTTTCTTTTCTTTTTTCATGGTACTAGAGATTCAAGTTGGCGTCTCACACACGAAGTGCTCTACCACTGAGTCACACCCCCTAGCCAACTTCCTAAAATTCTCCATCGGTTATTTAGATGTGAGAAATGGTTCTAGGGGATGGACCAAGATGGATTAGTAGACATGCAGGATATGTACCCGATCTCTCTTTCTGAACCCCACATTTTAAAAGCCAACAGCCTGGCAACATCTTCTTGGAGAGCCTGGCAACCTGACACTCTGCAGCAGTCACATATTAACAGGATCACAAAGAACCTTCACAAACCAGAAATCCCTTTCCAGTAAGAGTCAGTGCTCCGTGGAAGGCCCCCAAATTCCCAAAGAAGAATTATGGGGCAATATACTCTCTGAGCATTCAAGATAAAAATAGGCGGGGGAGAAATTATCCAAATCATTTTCTCAAATATTTGCACCCACAAAGCTGCTCTTCAGCTGTCGTAAAGGACCCCCGGCTGCCTGCTGAATTCTGAGTTTTACCGAAGCCCACCAAAGTTTACAATTACAAGGGAAGCGGCATCCCCTGCTTGTAGTTTTGTGCTTTGCTGATGTCCCCTGGAGATAGGAGTGACACTACCGGCCTCTGGGTTTCCATCACACTGCCCGTGGGATGTTTGGTGCTGCCCCGGCAGAGGAGCTAGGTTACTAAGTGATATCCAGCAAAATGGCGGGCCACAGCCATCATCTGAAAGCCCACAATGAGACCGTCTCGGGAGGGTGGAGAACAGCAGCACACCTACACAGGAACAGGTCTGCTGCCAAGGTCTACCTTCCTCAAAAGGTGCAGACCCTCAAGTGCTGCGCTTCTAGATCTTTCTTGGGAGCAGGTAGAGAAGAGCACTCCTGTTGCAGCAAGGCTCAGGGATGCCCGAGTTACGGGCTGCGCATCTTGCCTGGTAGCAGTTCACAGACCAGCACCAAGCTCCTAGCATCTCTATCCCATCTCAAACGGTGCAAGCCACACCAGTGGCCAGCTGCATGACCGTTTCCCTAACAGCGGGGGTACAGGGCTATTCCTGCCCATTTGACCAATGAGGCTGATTCTACACATCAGCAGTATGGCTTCTCAGAGTCTAAGTGAGCACCATCCCCGCTGTCAACACTTCACAGGCCTCCCCAAAGAGCTTCCTTAACCCCTGTTTTAATCAACAACAGGACAAGTCTTCATTCTTGGAATCCATCTCTGTGTAGAAGGTGAAGACGCTTGCAAGTGTGCAGAGGCCAGAAAGAATAATGTGTTCGCTTTAAACGCAAAGTCCCAGCTCCCTGTGGGGACGACTCCCGCTGATGTGACTGTGCGCTGGGACTTGAAGGCCCATCATTTCAGCAGGTGGCCTTTATCCGTCCCTTCAGTCCTACCGGTGAGCGCCTTCTGAATGTCATTTGTCCCAGAACACACCCAGCCCCGCGTGTGAGCAGGCCGGAGTTCCTTTCATTTCAGAAGACTTTTCTTCAAGCCAAGGAGGACACCAAGAACTCGAGAGGCAACTGAGAGGGCAGAATCACCCAGAAGCCTCCACAAAGCCTAGAACAGAGGCACAGTCCACCCTCTCCAGGTATCCACACAGGACAGGACATTCATTGTGCTATCTCCAACAATAACCTCTGCTGTGCAAAAACTCACGGACACATTGCATCTGCCCCGCAGTGACCTCATGTCTCCATTTCCCTGGACTTGCCCCAAGGGCGTGGGGCCTCCAAGGATCTCGCAGTCACCCATCCTTCTTGGCAAACGGGGAGAGTCTCTGCTACAAGCCTTCAGCCATTCCAAATGGTGAGCCTGCAGAACCCTCTTCCCTTTCAAATAGGGCAGGTATGTGTGACTGCCGTTGGCACCAGAAGGGGCAAAAGCCTTAGCTCCTCTCCTGTTCTTCCTGCCCCGGAGCAGTGTCTGCCACCTCGTGGCACCTGTGCTGGCTGCTTGGAATTTAATTGCATGTGAAAACATCAAGGAGGCACCACGGACATAAGAAGTACACGTACACATACACAAGTGTGCACACACATACACTCAGGCATGTGAGCACGCACATACACTCAGGTATGTGGGCGCACACATACACACACTCAGGTATGTGAACACACACACACTAGGGTATGTGAACACACACATTGTGGGGCCTCCTTAGAGAATAAAACAAAGAAGGACAGGGATCCAGGAATAGGGAACATTTCTTCTGTGTCCTACTCCAGGGAGCAATGCTGGCTTCTGGGGGCGCTGCAGAGGTCTGTGTGGAAGGCCGGTGCCTAGCTTCCCACAGGTCTTCTCAGGTCAGCGGCAGCCCGTGGAGTATCTGGATTCCCCTTGCTCCCGTGGCTCAGATAGTCTCGGGGGTCTCAGCTATCTCCTCCAGCCTTTGCCGAATCATTAGCCGAAGCACGGTGTACCTGGGGACCAAAGCAGCCTGAAGTAGATGGTAGTCTACAATATGCCTCTTGTGCCTCCCCTGCCACCCAGGCAACACCAGAGCCAGCCATCCTGCTCCTTAGCTCTCGTCATTGGCTACTCTCACTACTGCACACGTCGTCATTGGATTGGCTACTCTCACTACTGCACACGTCCTCATTGGCTACTCTCACTACTCCACACATCCTCATTGGATTGGCTACTCTCACTACTGCACACGTCGTCATTGGCTACTCTCATTACTCCACACGTCGTCATTGGCTACTCTCATTACTCCACACGTCCTTCCATACTAGGGCGACAGGGAAAGAGGCCAATTCCAAATTAGTTCCTGTCTCATATGTGGTCATCATTGCTACGCCATGTGCCACTTAAGGCTCTCATCAAAGCCAAGCAGATGTGGGCTGCGCATGCTCTTAGACGCCCAGAAGTGTGAGCTAAATGAATCTTGTTTCTTTTTAAATAGCCCAGCCCTGGGTGTTTGGTTACAGAAACAGATGATAGATTAAGACCCAGGAGAGAGGAACCTCCCTATTTCTAAAGCCAGATTCCAACGAGATTTGAGGCGGGCACATTCTTTCCCAGAGTTCTTTCATAAAAGGAAAGGAAAAGATATTTAGCTATCGCATATCCAAGTAAGCTGCTGACAGAAGAAGCGGGAAACAGAATGCCGCTCCTCATGTCCCTGTCTGCGAGCTGGGTCTGCCAGTGGGCAGCCCTCTGGCACCAGTTCCCACAAGGCAGCAGAATGATGTATGCTGTGGATATGTTTTATTGCCATTGATTAATAAAGAAGCTGCTTTGGCTCAAAGGCTTAGCAGAGTAAAGCCAGGCAGGAAATCCAAACAGAGATGTAAAGAGGGTAAGTAGTCAGAGAGACGCCTTGTAGCTGCCGAAGGAGAAAAATGTGAGCCGCCAGCCAGAACCTTACAGGTAGGCCACGAGCCTCATGGTAAAATATAAAATAATAGAAATGGGTTAATTTGGGCTGGAGAGATGACTCAGAGGTTAAGCACACTGGCTGCTCTTCTAGAGGTCCTGAGTTCAATTCCCAGCAACCACATGATGGCTCATAACCATCTGAAATGAGATCTGGTGCCCTCTTCTGGCCTGGAGGTGTACATATAGGAGGAATATGTAAACATAATAAATAAAAAAAAGAAAGAAAATGGAAAAGGAAACTGCTCTGTAATTAAATTAAAGTAAATGTTAAAAAAAAGAAATGGGTTAATTTAAGATGTAAGAGCTAGCTAACAATACGTCTAAGCTATTGACAAAACAGTACTGCAATTAATACAGCTTCTGTGTGATTACTTCAGGTCTGGGCAGCCGGGAACAAACGAGCGGCCTTGGCCTACAGCCGAACGATTGGGGCCCTGAAACCCAGCCTGACCCACTCCTCATGTCCCTGGCTGAGATCTGCTCTGTCAGCGGACAGCCCTCTGGCACCAGTGCCCACAGGGCAGCTGAACAGAGGGGCCCTGAAACCCAGCCTGACCCAGATGCCACACTCACTTCCGCATCAGCTTCTCCACCTCCCGGTCTTCTTCCTCCTGGAGTTTCTGGATGAAGCTTTTAAGGACTGGCATCTCAAACTTGATGTACTGGGCCACCTGGGGAGGGGGAGAAAATAAATCCCGTTGTTACAAAATCCTTTTGCCGTCGCCCTCCTCAAGGCACAAAGCCACCGGAAATCTAATTTCTCACTAGCCCAGGATCTCCCCATTCTACCCCAGGCTGGTCCAGTCTGCATGAAGAAGCCTGTGTTTACAGAATTCCATCTTGTGCCTTCTCGGTTCTCATTTCATTAGTGTGAACCCCAACTCGGGGACTGCACACAGAAAAGGACTTCCCACTCATGCAGGGATTCAGAGAAGGAGCAGGGCTACGAGTGTAGTTGGGGGTGTGGGTGGGTGCTAGTTCCCTCCTGGGGCTAGGAGGGTGGAGGAGGGCTCTGAGCTCCATCCCCAGAACTGCAACAAATCAAAGACCAAAGAAGACCTTAGTAAACTGCTGTGCTCTCCCCAGATGGGATGTGAGGAGTCATCACAGCCCAGACTCCTGCCTCCAGTCTCTGGGTAGCCAAATAGGCACTTGTTTTGGGGAAGAGACTGACCTGGTCCAGAGAGTTAAGACAGGGCTTTCCCTCCCCAGCCAAAAATCAAAAAACAAAACAAAACAAAAAAAAAAACAAAAAACAGCCGAGCAGTAGTGGGCCAACCACTAGATTACCTGAATTTGGCCACCAATATAAAAACTGTTTCCCATGGTGGTGGCACATGCCTTTAACCCCAGCAGAGGCAGGAGGATCTCTGTGAGTTCAAGGTCAGCCTGGACTACAAAGTAAGTTCCAGGACAGCCAGGGCTACACAGAGAAATTCAGTCTCCTCAAAAAGAAAAAGAAAAAAAAAAGAAAAGAAAAAGAAAGCAACAAAAGAAACAAACAAAACCAGAACCCTGAGCTACTTTCTCAACTTTCCTCCGGGTATTTAGTCCTCTCTCCTACAACGCTGAGCCTGCCTAGGTCGCTTGTGGTAGCCACTGGAATTTCTACAGACTTGACCCATTCTAAACCTGAGTGGAGGCTTAAAACAAGCCTCCCATGGTTTGGACTAGTTTCTTCTTTTAAAAATTGTTTACAGAACTATCATTTGCATGTAATATGTATACATGTACATGTGTGTGAGAACAGGTACTAAAGAAAAGGCTAGCATGAACCACGGTGTGTGGGTCAGCGGGAAACCTTATCAGAGTCTTTTTGTTGCTTGTCACTCTGTGTGACAAGTTAGGTGAACCAGGCCGGGAGGAGACCCCAGGGAGTCTCCTGCCTCCCCCCTTCATTTCACTATAGAGCACTGAAATCATTGGCACATGCTGCCACACCTAGATATATGTGGGTCCTGGGGATTCGAACTCAGGTCCTCACACGTGTACAGCTCTTTACCCACAGCCCCTGGGGATTCGAACTCAGGTCCTCACA